GTTTACCACAAAGTTACCTGAAAGGGGAGGAGTGTTTTCCATTTCATTCAGGAGATTGGCTACAATGAGAAATTTTAAAGGCTCAATCCTCAGCCATTTTAAGGCCTATCTGCATGAAACCTACCTCAGCTGTAGACCCTATTCACAACTACTGGCCTGCCAAAACAATTCACCAATCTACTGATTTTTTATAATTATTTTAAGTTTTAAACATAGTATTTTTAAACCACAAGATAAGGCACTGGGAACTGTAATCACGGGTTGTGTCCATTCTCAGCCAATCAGAGCATGGACACCATCAGGCTTTTTACTGGCTGAGAGACTCAGAGAGATGAACTTTCAATGGCCATCCTATGCTAGTGCCACTGGGAAAGCGAGTTCTAAGGGCTCTCTCTGGAGGAGGTGGTAACTTTCCAAGAAAAAAATGGAGGAGGCTTCTTCTGCTAGGAATAGAAAAAGATGCCACAGATCTCACCGCCTCAATTATTTTGTGGACTTAACTCTTTCTGAAAATATTGTCTCTCTGAATTCATTTCACTGTTCTTTTCGTCTCTCTCTTCCCCTTTCTGTTTTCAGAAATTACACAAAAATGGCCCTCCGAAAACTACAAATCTTTTTGTTAACAGTGATTCGGGCCCAACTCTACCAAATATATTAGATAATAAACCCGTGTAAGAATAGTGGAGCATAATGTAATGTATCATTTTAACACGACACCTGGTAAGACACATTTTGAACATTTAACAATATACTAGGAGTTTTGGTACCATGATTGCTGTAAATGAGTGGCCAGAAAGTACTTTTACACATCAATTTACTTATGGGATTTCTTTTCTTGACCACAGGGAAGTGATATTTCTGAGGTACAGGAAAAAAACATAGATCCATAATAAGTGCGCACCTATATCTGCGGACGGCCTACATTACAACACATAGTAAAGCTGTGTATGTTGCTTTCTTTAAAAGGATTAGCAAATTTGGTGACAGGTACAGGAGTACCTATTTGCTTCTGTCATGCTAACCTTGTATATTAGTCACAAAACCTCTGTTGTCGAGGAGGAATTAAACACTGCTTCTGGAACTTCTCAGCATTCACTACAGGAAGTTTGGTGTGCTTGTAATCCAATATATTTTAATGGTAGTAAGAGTGGGCGCAGACTTTCATTCCATCTTAAAAGAAATGCTATTGTAACGTAAGCATATATAAGTATAACAGAATTCCTTTCCCAATACACACATAAGGAGTTTCTGTACATCTGTAAAGATAGCAATCCTCCTGAACCTTAAAAATCTAATCCCTCCTTCAGTTGAGCTATTTTAATTTACAACTGCATTTACCTTAATTATAATTTATTTGAAAAGCCTTCTAGAATGCTCCTCTGTCCATTTACAGGCAGTCTCCGAGTTACAAACATTCAACTTAGAAATGGCTCATAGTTAAGAATGGGGGTGAGATAACAAGAAGTGAGAGAAATCTACCCCTCAGGAAGGGAAATTCATTCTTAAGAGTTATGATGGGGAAAGCGGGTCTTTACTGAAGCTTTCTCACTAATCCTTGTTTCCACAACAAGCCATTTTTTAAAAAAAATCTAATTATCACAGGGACAGCAAGTGAGGTGAGATCTTCTGAACAGGGGCACAGACAGCAAAACAAACATCACAGGGATGTTAATTCTTTCCTATGCTATCCAAAGCTATATATATGGTATGGAGTTACATTTAAAAATGTACCTGTTCCAGCTTACATACAAATTCTGTTCCAGCTTACATACAAATTCAACTTACAAACAGACCTACAAAACCAATCTTGTTCATAATTTGGGGACTGCCTGTATTGAAAAGTAACTCTACTGTGTTTGGAGGAGGTCCTCCTATGTTAGTGGGTGCAACATTTCATCCGTCTATTTCTGAGGTTCCTTTATCCTTTTGGACATCAGCCACCAGAATGCCTGACAACTGGCTAAACTGACTGGGCGGATGGGAGTTGAAGTCTCAAACACTTGGAGGATCACAGGTAGGGTACCACTAGTCTATTTAAAGGATCTAAAACCCATGCTAATTATGTGCAGTCCAACCCAATGCTGGAAAGGACACTGTGTTTACAAAATAACTTGCAGTAAGTTCAAATGATGTATATGGAGGAAATCACAGGCCCCTTCRACACAGCTGTATAAAATTCAAATTAAACTGATTTATATGGCAGACAACACAGTTCAAAGCAGATATTGTGGATCCGCCTTGATATTCTGGGTTATTTGGCTGTGTGGAAGAACCCTCAGACTGAGGGGGGGGGGGAGTCTCAGAGTTTTCTTCTTAAAACTGTGGTTCCCAATCCCAAATGGCCCATTTGGGGTTGGGAACCACAGTTTTAAGAAGAAAATTCTGAGACTCTTAGCTCCATATTGGAGTCCTCAAAAGTTTGGAAACAGTAAAGGTCATCYGAATGTCACCAGGTGACTGGTTTAGATATTCACACAAATCTGTTGTACATTACCTGTTATGTATTGTGTTTATCCTATCTTATATGTTTTATCCCATCTCCAAGTCCCTTTTTGGGAGATGGGGTGGGGTATAAATAAAGTGTTGTTGTTGTTGTTGTTGTTGTTTGGAGATTGCAGGATGACGACAACACAGATACCAAAAGAAAAGATGGATGGACACATTGAAGACATGTGTGCTGCCAACCTGAGAATGCCCAAAACAAAACACTGTGCTAACCCCTCCATTGGGAAAATAGCTTAGAAAGAAGAAGAAGAAATGTTTGATATTTATAACTATATAATACACCTATATACCCAGGGTCATGTAAAGTTTCTCAGGCAGAAAGCGATTGCAAGTAGAACAAGTGTTAGAAGCCCTGCAGCAACATAACGTTATGATTATGTGTCTTGGATCATGCGTGGATGATGAGGCGATTGGGTATGGGTTTTTTGTAATAGTTGTGTATTGGGATTGCTTATTAGTTATTAATGGAAAATGTGTAAATTAATTGTCATTGTTGTATGGAATTATTGCTGTTTTTATTGTCTTTACTGTTTGTGAACCGCTGTGAGTCGCCCTCGGGCTTGAGATACAGCGGTATATAAGCATAGTAAATAAATAAATAAATAATAACGCAGAATATCAAGGCAGGAAATCCCACAATATCTGCTTTGAATTGGAATATATGGCAGTGTGGATTCAGATGACCCCGTTCAAAACAAATATTGTGGGATTTCCTGCCTTGCTATTCTGGGTTATATGGCTGTGTGAAAGGACCCTGGGTTATCTGAGTCCACACTGCCATATATCCAAATTCAAAACAAATAATGTGGGATTTTCTGCCTTGATATTATGGGATATAGGGTTGTGAGGAAGGGCCCTGAGGTCCCTTCCACACAGCTGAATAAAATCCACATTGAACTGGATTATATGGCAGTATCAACTCAGGGGTCTTCCAGACAGGCCTTATATCCCAGGATCCGGTCCCATGTTTTCTGCTTTAAATTGGATTATATGAGTCTGCACTACCAAATAATCTAGAGTGAACAGAAAACCTGGGATCAGATCCTTGGACATAGGGCCTGTCTGGAAGGGCCCTCAGATAACCTAGGCTTCTTTCACACAGCTGAATAAAATTCCACATTATCTGCTTTGAACTGGTTTATATGGCAGTGTGGACGCAGATAGTCCAGTTCAATCTGCCTTGATATTCTGGGTGATACGGCTGTGTGGAAGGATCCTAAGACACTGCTTACTACAGTGTATAAAGAAAACTGTGGCCTCCTTCTACATTGCCATATAAAATCCAGATTATCTGCTCTGAACTGGATTATATAGCAGTGTGGATGCATATATTCCAGTTCAAAGCAGATGATGTGGATTATCTGCCTTGATATTCTGGGTTATGTGGCTGTGTGGAAGAGCCCTAAGACACTGCTTGCTACAGTGTATAAAGAAAGCTGGGGCCCCTTATACACTGCCATATAAAATCCTGACTCTCTGCTCTGAACTGGACTATATGGCAGTGTGGATGCAGATATTCCAGTTCAAAGCAGATGATGTGGATTATCTGCCTTGATATTCTGGGTAATACGGCTGTGTGGAAGGATCCTAAGACACTGCTTACTACAGTGTATAAAGAAAACTGGGGGCCCTTCTACACTGCCATATACAATCCAGATTATCAGATTTGAACTGGATTATATGGCAGTGTGGATGCAGATATTCCAGTTCAACGCAGATAATGTGGATTATGTGTCTTGATATTTTGGGTTATATGGCTGTGTGGAAGGGCCCTAAGACACTGCTTGCTACAGTGTATAAAGAAAACTGTGGCCCCTTCTACACTGCCATATAAACCCCAGATTATCTGATTTGAACTGAATTATATGTCGGTGTGGATGCAGATATTCCAGTTCAATTGTGGCCCCTTCTACACTGCCATATAAACCCCAGATTATTTGCTTTGAACTGAATTACATGGCAGTGTGGACTCATATAAGCCAGTTCAAAGCAGATGATGCAGGTTGTCTCATTTGATATCTGGATTATATGGCAGTGTAGAAGGGGTCTGTGTGCATCTACACTCAAGAACTAATGCTGGCTGACCCCACTTTAACTGCCATGACTCAGTGCTATGGAATCCTGGAGTTTCTGTTTCTGTGATGCACCAGCCCTCTCTTTGTCAGAGAAAGCTAAAGATCTTTATTATTATTATTAATAATAATAATAATAATAATAATAATAATAATAATAATTTAAAGGGTTAGGGTTAAAAATGAAATAAAATAATGAAAATGAAAAATAAAAATAAAAATGAAAAAGACTAAAGATCTTATAAAACTACAACTCCCAGGAGCGAAGCAGGCACTGATCCTTGTCCTAGAAACGACAGGCCTGGGAAACGATGGCACCGGATGGGAAGTGGGAGGCCCGCTCTGGAGAGGCCTCCTCCTCCTCCTCCTCCCCAAGGTAGGGCCCGGTTGGGGCCTCCAGGGCAAAAGGCTGGGCGCACTGACCTTGCCGGAGGCGCCGTCGCCCAGCAACACGAACTTGAGCAGCCGGTCAGAGCTCTCTTCCTCCTCAGAGTCCGACATAGCCCCGCTAGCCGGCGCCCTCCGTCAAAGGGACAGCGACACCCCAACCGCCTCCGCCATCTTTTTTCCCCTCAGCCTCTTTCGCCGAGACCGGCGTCGGACTAGACCACCAGTCAGAAAGGGAGGGGGGGGGACAAACAGAGGGAAGATGCGGGAGGTATCAACCACGGAGAGAAAGGGATAGAGAGACCGGCCACAATCAAGCCATTGGAAAGAAGAGGCAACCAAGACCTACTGCTACTTCGACCTCTCCCCCCCCCTTTCTCTGTTAACAAATGGTTTGGTCCAAAGCTCTGGCACGAACAATGGCAGTGGATGGGCCTCTTAAGCCCCGCATGTAACTCGGGGCCGCCAAGGGTGAAAGGTGACCGGAAAAGAGAAAGGAACGCCCCCTTCACCTGAAAGAATGGGCGAGGCGCAAGCACTGCCGGCCAATAGGAAGGAAGGAGGGTGAAGGGGGCGGAGCTCAAAAAGCTGGGCATGCGCATTGCTTTGTTGACAGTTCTGCGGTGTTAGGAGAGTCCCTTGCTCTGAAGGGGTAGATTACTGCATATATACTCAAGTATAAGCCTCGTTTTTCAGCCCTTTTTTTAGGCTGAAAAAGTTCCCCTCGGCTTATACTGGAGTCAAAGTTATTTATTATTTTACTCTGTTATTAGTATTATTTTTATTGCATTTATCATTTTACTCTATTATTGTTGTTATTATTACTATTACATTTACATCATTTTACTCTATTATTATTTTATTACATTTATTATTTTACTCTATTTATTATTATTATTATTATTATTACATGTATTATTTTATTATTACTATTATTATTAAATTTCCATTATTTATTCTATTATTGTTTTTATTTATTTATTTACCTTATTTACCTTACTTATATACCGCTGTTCTCAGCCCGAAGGTGACTCATTATTACATGTTATTACATTTATTATTTGACTCTGTTATTATTGGTCATAGGTAAGTACATTTACATTGAAGGAAGTTAGAATAATGATTGAATCAGAGTTGGGCAGTCTTATCTTAAATTACAATTTTATGTAAATACTCAAAAACATTTAACCTACTGATGATCACCAGTAGCAGCTACATTTCTCACCCTCAGCTTATACTCGAGTCAATACGTTTTCCCAGTTTTTTGTGATAAAATTAGGTGCCTCGGCTTATATTCAGGTCGGCTTATACTTGAGTATATACTATAATTGTAGGTGAAACATTATTGTGGGATTTCTAAAAGAGCAGAAAACAAGGTATCTCCTTAATAAGATTAATTAGGACTTCAAGACAAGGTAAATAGTGTTCCTTGCACTGATCAACTGTATTGTTCAACACTATTATTAACTCACAATATCTTGTCTCTCTCCTGAGGAATCTGTATCACGATTCCTCAGTAGCAACAGTAAAAACTGACCATGGTACAACAGACTGGTTCAAGATTGGGAAAGGCGTACGGCAGGGTTGTATACTCTCGCCCAACCTATTCAACTTGTGCGGGGCTTGACGAATGCAAGGCTGGGGTGAAAATTGCTGGAATAAACATTAACAACCTTAGATATGCAGATGATACCACTTTGATGGCCAAAAGTGAGGAAGAGCTGAGGAGCCTTCTAATCAAGGTGAAAGAAGAAAGCGCAAAAGCTGGGTAATAATAATAATAATAATCTTTATTTATACCCCGCCACCATCTCCCCAATGGGGACTCGGAGCGGCTTACATGAGGCCAAGCCCAAACAAAAAATTACAATAAAATGAAACCGAAAACGCAAACAATAAACAACATAATTACATAAAACATATGAAAACATAGCAATATAAAATTACAATAGGCACAATGACAATGGGTGGGCAACATGTAATGATTTTTTTTTAAAGAGACTGATTAAAACTAATTAAAACTCAGGTGAGATAAGAGAAAGACAGATTATTTGCAGAGGAGGACTCGTTATAGTGGGGGTTGTGGAATCAGGCTTTCCCACAAGGGGGGGGCATATACTCCAGTGCCAAAACATTGAGGCTAAGCAATAGTGTGAGAATGTAAACCTATTCATCAAAAGCGCAGCGGAAGAGCCAGGTTTTAAGGTCCTTTTTAAAGGTTTCTAAGGTAGGGGCTTTTCTAATTTCTCCAGGTAGTGAGTTCCAAAGTCAGGGGGCCACAGAGGTAAAAGCTCTCTCCCTTGTAGTTACTAGGCAAGCTTGTGAAATTGGCAGGGGTGAAAGAGGGCCTCCCCAGAAGAACGGAGGGCCCAAGTTGGTTCATGGAGGGAGATACGGTCACGGTTAAACATAAAAAAACCAAGATTATGGCAACCAGACTGATTGATAACTGGCAAATAGAGGGAGAAAACACGGAGGCCATGAGCTAGAGATGAACATCACCCCCAGAAGCAGGAATGAAAGGAGAAGTCTCTGCCTTTGTTTGTGTTTATGTGTCTCATTGTATATGATTACTGCAGACGCAGACTGCAGCCAGGAAATCAGAAGATCCTTACTTCTTGGGAGGAGAACAATGACCAATCTTGATAAAATAGTGAAGATTAGAGAATCACACTGGCAACGAAGATCCATATAGTCAAAGCAATGCTATTCCCCGTAGTAACCTACGGATGTGAGAGTTGGACCATAGGGAAGGCTGAGCGAAGGAAGATAGATGCTTTTGAACTGTGGCATTGGAGGAAAGTTCTGAGAGTGCCTTGGACCGCGAGAAGATCCAACCAGTCCATACTTCAGGAAATAAAGCTCGACTGCTCATTGGCGGGAAGGATATTAGAGGCAAAGATGAAGTACTTTGGCCACATAGTGAGAAGAAGGAAAGCTTAGAGAAGACAATGATGCTGGGGAAAATGGAAGGAAAAAGGAAGAGGGGCCGACCAAAGCCAAGATGGATGGTATGTATCCTTGAAGTGACTGGCTTGACCTTGAAGGAGCTGGGGTGGTGACAGCCAACAGGGAGCTCTGGCGTGGGCTGGTCCATGAGGTCAAGAAGAGTCGGAAGCGACTGAATGAATAAACAACGACAACAAAGTATTGAACAACACCTGTTGATCAGTGCAGTTTTGCTAACCATATCCCAAGCTGCAATGGCCATGAAACATTCGCATTTGCCTCTAACAGACAAGAGTGCTTTCTCCCACCCTGGACATTCCACAAATATAAAAACCCCACTTGCCTAGTTTCCAACAGACCTCACAACCTCTGAGGATACCTGCCATAGATGTGGGCGAAACGTTGGGAGAGAATGCTTCTGGAACATGGTCATACAGCCCGGAAAACTCAACAACTCATGTTGTTCTCATTTGATGAAATCTTAAAATATGGAGCACAATACTTTTCTTTCTCTTCTCAATGCATGAAAGCAGATAAATTGAAACTATCCAGACAAGACAGAGGTGTTCCTGGTCAGTCTGAAGGCATATCTGGGAATAGAGAGTCAGCCTGTGTTGGAGGGGGGTCACACTCCCCCTGAAAACAGTTTGGGAGTATTCCTGGATTTAGTGCTGAATTTGGTGGCCCAGGTGTGAACAATGAACAGGGGTGCTTTTGCACAGTTAAGAGCTGTCGCTTAGCCTGTGTTTTGCTTTGACATAAAAGCAGTGTTTTCAGTTAAGAGCTTGCACCAGAGGGTGCTCTAGTGCCAGAGTACAGGACTTTAGGGCTTCAAGGAGCAGCCTCCGTGCCTTGAGCTCTTTTCCGCTTTGGGAGATTCTTGTCTGCTTTGGTCTTGTCCACTTTGAGGAACTTTGGTTTAGTTGATTTTTGTGTAGTTTTTGTTCCTGGTTCAAAACAGATATTGTGGGATTGTCTGCCTTGATATTATGGGTTATATGGCTGTGTGGAAGGGCCCTGGAATGAGACCAGTATGAAGAAAATTATGCTTCTGCCTCTTTACTTTGTCCTTCCTTGCCACAACTTTGTGCTTCTACCATTTTAAAGTTGATTTTTCTTTTTATTGTTCCATTTGAATGTGCATTTATACATTATTCGTTATTTATAAAGTACAATTTCTTATTTTAAAAAATATGTAACAAAAACAATTGAGGGGGGTGTTGGGGGACCAGAACAGATTAATAGGATTTCAATACATTTCAGTGGCAAAATTCATTTTGAGATAAAGAGTGTTTTGGGTTAAGAGCTAGGTCATGGAACGAATTAAACTCCTAAGTCAAGATATCATTATATTTTGAGGTGTCTACTGAGGTTTTCTGATAAATTTATAAACATAACCCATTCCTTCAACCTTTCCTTATAGAACTTGATGTCTAAGAGCCCTTCCACACAGCCTTATAACCCTGAATATCAAGGCAGATAATCCACAATATCTGCTTTGAACTGGATTATCTGAGTCCACACCAACATATAACCCAGTTCAATGCAGATTTAATACAGCTGTGGCAAAAGGGCCTAAGGCACTGACTGTCTTTGTTATCCTACTTTGGATATGTTTCTTCTGGCCAATATGTTTCCTAATCTTCAGCGCTCTGAGTGATATCCGTACTTCTAGTAATCTTGGCTATAAAGTTCTGTTAATGCATTAAAGGGAAAGGTTTCTCCTGACATTAAGTCTAATTGTGCCCCAAGGTCATGTAGCCAGCATGACGACAATTCCTCTAAGTTTTATTCTAATGCAACTATCTTCCATCTTGCTAATTCAGGTTGCCATGAGTATCCGCTTCCTTTTCCTCTCCCTTTCTTTAACATATCTTTTTTTTCATTTTTTCAAATTATCTTCACAATATTTCTATATTTTTAAAATAACCAAACTTTTTTCAATTTCTATGGTTTCAGCTTCCATCTCAATGGCATTATTTTATTCTCCTTGACATAGAAAGGCCTTTCTCTATTTCATGAGAAGTAGTTGTGAAGATCACCATTGTGTACTCTTGGATTCTTGCCTTTAGCCAATGAAATACTGTTGTTTCTGATGAGACATTTCAAAACACACAAAGTGAACTGTGGAAGGAGGGAGTAGTACACATGCATGGCCAGAACCTTAATTTTCATCGTAACCTGAGTTATTTTAGTAAATTAACACAACTGTTTTTAGAATGCTCTGCATTTAACTACATTCTTGCCAAGAATTCCAATTCCCAAGAGGACAACTCCTTCAGATTATATGAGCTCTGCATTTACTATGTGAAAAGGAAATTATATCTGTGCACAGTGTAGATGAAAGGAATGGAAAATTCTCGCCATCATCTCTCCATTTATTATCTGAAGACAGATTTTCCAAATATTTCAACACCAACAACTGAGGTTGGATTTTCAAACAAATGTTCAAAAATGTCCAGCAATATCATCCCTTTTAGGCAGCTATATTGTTCCTCTAAATGACATTTCCCTTTGAAATTCCATTTTATTTTGAAATCTAGCACCAAATTGAGATTTTCATGGTG